TGACTTTTCCTAACATTAGTAATATACTTGATATTAGTTCTAGTAAACTATACGGATAGAACCGAAGCGGGATCGAATATTTAAATAAGTGTTTTTATGTATTCATGATAGACAGGTCTATATAATCAGACTATATATGAAGAAAAAATGCAATAATATTGCTATCTTTTAAGCTTGTGAACTAAGATATTGTTTGAAACATTAAATTTCGTTAATTTCAACATAGACTAATTATCGCGTTGTAGTAATTATGGATTTATGTTACGAGAATTTTCTAACATCAAAAAAGGTTTTTGATCGCTAGTATCTCAGTAAAAAGTATAAAGTATTGATAAAAAAGAAAACATTTGTTGAAAACAATCATGTATTAAACAAAACATATTAAAATTACCTTTTCATTTGCCTTTATTTAACAACATTTTAGTGCTAATTTCTGAGATTTCTTTATTTCTGTGTAGTCATATTTCACAAAAATGCAAGCTTGTCATGATTTATATATTAATCTAAACTATTCGCTATCACTTTTGAGTTTTGAAAATAAATTTAATGAATCGAATTTTGAAAACCGTTTTAAAGAATACAAAAAAAAAAAATTCTACAAAAAATCATTTTAATCAAGTCTAAAACATTTTTCTCCGACTTAGATCTGTTTATAGAGAAATATTGTTACTTTGTTGTACAATTTTATTTCATGCTTTCCAGTGTTTTATTGTCATTTATCAGATGATTATATTCTGATATACCACTAGTGAAATTTATAAATTTTTACTGTAGCCGAACTATATCTGAATGCGGATGAAACGAAAATCATAACTAAATGGAATAACAGGCAGAAATAAATGCCGTCATGCGTAAATCTGCTTCTTTAGGAAAAGAAAGTCGATGTCACCAGACATCATGTTAAAAATGTAACAAAGTAAGAGAAATTTAACAGAACTATATTTCAAAATTGATGATGTGACGTCATGATGTAATGACGTCAAAAAGGAGAATGCGCGACGTTACGCGGCAAAATCAGTAAAACATACTTAAAATAACTTAAAAGCATGAAATAAAAAGAAAATGTATATGTTTTACATATAAGATTGAAATATATTTCATTCGTGAACACCAGCTATTATATTTTCATCTGGTGTTCACTCAGTGAAATTATATTTCAATCTTACATGCAAAACAAACAAATATCCTCTATATAATTATAAATCACTGGAAAATATATCCAGTACAGTTTTTGTGAATCTAGCTGGATTGGCAGTATCAGCTTGTATATCTTGTAACCCAGGAATATGAAAATAAAGCATGAAATATGGAGTAGTCACGCCGAATATGCGTAAAGCTATGGTCAAAACGAGCACCATTGTAAGTTTAACTTCAGGTAAAGGAAAGAAAGAAAGGTATTATTCTTCAAACATTTAATAAAATTTCCAGATTTGCTTTTCATGGTCATTTGTATGAGTGGCGACCTGGCTACCGTATTAAAGGCGACGTTTGGGTTTCGCCGATGTTTATAAAAATTATTGTTTACCGGAGACATAATTTTTGTCATATTATGCATGTTATAAGGTCACGCTTAGTTCGGGTACTTAAGGACATCACAGGTTACCTCATAACAAGTGTTTGCATCACAATTTATCTGCCCCATTTCTTCATTGTTAACAGCCCCCTTTTTCACTGTTAACACTGGTAGTTCAGCAAATGTGCCAAGTATATCGTATTTTACTTACAAATAAATAACAATGGGACACTATCGTAGGTAGCCAGATCGTAAATCACACGAATGACCTTTGAAAGTAGACATTTTTAATATTAGTAATGCAGGTTAAAATGTCTTTTAGCAGCCGTGCGTGCTTATCATTTATGTCTCCATTTGATTTATTACAAATGGTCCGTTTACTTGTCTTGTTGCTTGTTTCTTCCATAGATTAACACAAATTCTGCATTATCTTTTGCTCAACTCGTCTCTTTCAAATTTCTGCATTACGACATATACTCTTTGAATATGCACTAATTTGAATGAAATGTAAGTTATCAAAATTTCTAAAAGATAAACTTTAAGATCGTTGTCACATAAAAATATTTGTATTACCTTTTAACAGAATAATAACGAAGAACCACAAAATCCAAAATCCTTTGTTCATTGTCATGAACTGGCACTTCATCTGATCGGAAAATACCTGGATCTGCCTTATAACAGTTATGAATAAATGGGCGGTACATTTGCTCACAGGAAAATAGCTATATGTTAATAAATAGGCGGTGCATTTTGTAAACAAAAAACAACTTTGGATAGTACTTTGTACCACAGAAATTTCATTTAAAGTTTGATACATTATTCTTGGAAATATCACGTTTCAGATAACAGCACGTCTAAGTGAAGTGTTCCCTGCTTTGAGATATTCCATTAGACTAAATATGCACAAGTGTCGGGTTAGAATAACAATTTCTGACACACATCATTTGTGCAAACACAAAATGTATACTCTCGGATACACTACTGACGTCTTCTTGTAATTATATATACCATCAACTCCGATATTATAAGGGAATATCGATGTTTACTGTATAACGGATTACGATATACAGTATATGCATGCTAATAGGCTGTTCTTGTGCTTATGTTGTTTTTGTTTGTTTCTTTGATTGGGTCTTACGTCACACCGACACAGTATAAATCATATGGCGACGTTTCAGTTTTACTGGTGGTGGAAACCTCAGGTGCCCTTCCATGCATTATTTCAGGCACGATCGATCATGCGAGTAGAACCCACGACGTCCCGTAAGCTAGCTGGATATACTTCCTCACATGAAAGAATCCGAAGTCCCTGTCGGGATTTGAGTAAGTGAGCAGTGAGTAAACCACTCAGCCACGGACGCCCCCCCCCCATTTACTTTTTAACTCGTTTGAGAATAAGTGGTTCTAAAATATACAAATATAACTTATTCAGCGAGTTATGTCTCCACAAAGCCCCGCCTTCTAACATATATCAATTATAACAGTTGCCATAAACACTTAACCTGCTAGCTCGTTATCCTTAATTGAATATATAACTATTCTTTATCTTTCCTTAATTGTCACCTATCCTAGGATTCAACATAATAATTTCTTGTATAATCACCAACTTAATAGTGTTTACATGAGCTTTTGTATCAATTTAACAAAATCATTATGGAAATATCATTTGTGGAAATACTTAAATCATGTGAAAACGTGACTGTTCAACAACTAAACTCATTATATACTTTACCATACCTTCATGAAGATGTATTTAACAAGTTTAAATTCTAATACATTAATGAGTGTTTGTGAAATAAAAGCTTCAGATTTCTGATATACTTCGTGTATTTTTAAAATATAATACCAGAACTGTTAACAGAAAAACTCATTGAATCTTTTTTCACAACATTTATTAAACATCAGGTACTAAATTCATAGGCTGTTTAAGGCAACCATTAAATTTTCAAGGATAGATGACATTTGTACTTATTTTTATGGCATTAAGTCAAATTCAGTCAAATGATATAACCGCCTATATGACTGAAATACTGTTGGAAAAAGGCGTAAAATGAAACAAACAAACAAATAAACAAATGATATAACAGTGTTTTTGTACAGATTTTTTTACTCTAGAGTTTTGATGCGTAGGAATTGACCACGAAGGTCGTAGGCCTGAGTGGTTAATATTTTCGCATCAAAATGACAAAACCGGTGTTAAATAGCCGATAAACACAGCTAAGACCGATGCTATTTCGATTCTAACAAGATAAAATAAAAATTCACTAATGGTATTTTTTCAAGTCAAATCAATTTCCGGTTTGATTTTATAAAGATGTCGTTTTCGTATGCTCTATGTTTTTAAAATTCTTAACAAAACCAATTTAAATACTTTTTTTGATTTCAACAATTAAAAATTCACGTCTTAAGTGGATGTTATTGTGGTGTAATCTGTCCCGTATTTTTGTTTAAAGTTTGAGAATGAAAGGTCTGGATTAGAATGGTTATTAGGATGAATATTTTAACGAATGCTTCGTTGTGTCCGTTGTAAATATTTCTTAACATAAGGATAAAATCGTGGCGTAAGTTGTATGAAATTTTTTCTGTTTGTGATGAAAAAGAAAAATTATAAGAATGAATTAAATAAAATTATTTTTATGTGTTTCAAAAAGATTTGGTGGTCAAGCATTTTTCATTGTTGGGAGAAAACATCAACCGAATACAAAGTAAGTCCATAGCCAGTGTTTATTGGCAGTTTAACACCAGTTTTTTCTTCTTTGTCTATAGTGACAAAATCACGAGGAGTGTTAGAATCAAAATTCGAGAAATTTATCAGAACTATATTTCAAAATTGATGATTTGACGTCATGATGTGATGACGTCATGAAGGAGAATACGCGGCAAATCAGTCAAAAATACTTAAAATCACTTAAAAACAGGAAATAAAAAGATTTTTTTTTTGTTTTACATATAAGATTGAAATATATTTCATTCGTGAACACCAGCTATAATATTTTCACTCGTGGCTACGCCAATCGTGAAAATATTGCATCTGGTGTTCACTCAGTGAAATATATTTCAATCTTACAGGCAAAACAAACAAATATTCTCTATAGCTATAAATTAATTTAAACTTCGAATTTAAATGATGATTGTATCATACTAACTTAAATCATAATCATCAAAATCGGTGGCCCATATGTTATTTTTTAATGCAAAAATAAAATGAAAACTATGAAAAAGTGATATATAATATGTGAAATGAATTATATTTAATGTATCTTTGTTGATATTGTTACTATTTGCTGTATACTATTACAACATTTAATGTAATACAAATAATCTTCACTGCCCTATGGTCGATTTGACAATTTTAATTCAAATCAATTTTGCCAAGGGCTTTTGATTTTAACAGAAATGTAAGCGGTTCTTTGTATGCTCTATCCATTTTTTCACATTCTTAACAGAAATCGGCACATGTTAAATACTTTCTTCCCAAGCTTGATTTTCATATGAACACAATTGAACATTAATTCATCGTCTTAGTGGTGTTATCTAAGTAACGGTATGTCAAATGTCGATCACCGTCACCCTTTTTGTTTAAGTTTGAAGAATGTAATGCATCAGCAGGATTAGAATGGTTATCACTGGAATATTGTTAAATGAATGACTCGCTGCTGTCCCGGATATACCTTTCCTTCCGACATACAAAGGAAAAAACCTGCAAGAAATAAAAATGTTTGTATTTTGTTAAATTAATAAATAGTATACTGTTTGTGAGTAATAATAGTAACAACAAACATAGATGAATTACAGTCTGGTATAAATTATTTTCTACCTGCTGTGCAGACCCAACAATGTCATATCTGGTGCCGTCACGTGAGCAATTAGTTCCATTGTCTTGGCGTCTATGATTACCATGAATCCTGAAAGAAAAAGAGGTCATCGTTTTTTTACGATTTCGTTCGTTTTATATCGTGATATATTACATCAATGTTCATTGAACCTTTCGTATGCACTTTTACAAATCAAAATGATGAAATCCTTTTAATGCGTAAGCGAAAGTAGTGTTTACTTTGGTTCTTTTACCTCATGCATGAATTGGTCATCTTTTCACACTCAAGATTTCTTTTTATTTTCACAGAAGTTATTTTAAAATCATTTATAGTACCTTTATGTTTCCGCCCATCTATTCCTTGCGCTACAATCACGCCATCGTCTTCACTAGAAGAGTTTGGATGAGGGACAAAATTTGGTTCCTGTACAAACAGTCCCTCGGGGAAAGTGTAGTGGATTTCTTCACCAGTGTCTACGTTAAGCTTGCAAATATGTAAATAGGAATAAAAAGTAAATAAAATCGGATACATAGTAGAAAATTAATTTACTTTTCGTAGAAACTTTAAACCGTTTCTATATTTTGTTGTTCTGAATGCCACAAATAAAACATGGATATTTCTATGGACTATTATGGGACAATTTTTTAATCAATACATTTAAATGTTTAAAAATATATTTTAACAGTCATATAAATAAACCAGACTGATTGTTCATATGTACCTTTGTTACTGCATTTCTTTCTCTTCTGTCGAAATTCATTGCCATATAGCCATACGTGTATTTCTTTCCGTTGTATGCATGATTAATATTTGACATCTCAAACGCTGCTAGATCTTTATCTTTAGTTCTCAAACTGCGCATGCGCGCTGTAAAATCTGTCATATTGATAGTGATTCTGGAAATGTCAGTGGTATATGGCATCTAAAAATAAAAATTATATTATATAAATGGATGATGGTGATGTAATGAAGTTTGGTGGCGGTGACTACGACGATGATGACGAATTGAAATCAATTTTAGTTATAATTATATGTATCATTATTAACATGATAGAAGAGATAATGAAAGAATATTGAAAATAAATAAATAAACAAACAATAATCATATCTATTAAAGTGTATTGTGGACTAACCAATATAGTACTTTACTTACATCAAGATTTTTCAGATATGTATACTTTGTGTAAATGTTGGCATTGTCGTATGTTAGCATGTCCATGTTAATAACTTCTCCGTCTTCATAAGCTCCTAACTGTATTATAGAATAAAAACGATTAAAAGATACTTTAAAGATATGACCTGCTCAAATTTGATATTTGAAAAAAAAACTGATAATTGTTATACAATAAATTGCTATTTCTAAATGTTAAATAAATATCTTTTGAGTGCATTCTCACGATATATGTGTTAAGGAAATAATCATGTATTTTCTTCCATGTCATATCAAAATATATATGTTCTTTTTCTTTTCATTGTTTAACGACGATGAGCTTGTAATGTTTAAGTCAAATAAAATATTTGTTCTGTTCTGTTCTATCTTTTGAGGACATGCTACTTTTTAAACACTGCACGCTATAGTATAAATATATAGTGTCAATTAAAAAATGGCAGTTTTGCAAGAATGGAGCAAAATAACTTGACCAGTAATAGGGAATACAGCTTTTAAAACAAAGTTTGTACATTCACATAATCAAATGAAAGAAATTCAGTGAGAATTTCATGGATTTCAATCAATGTCAGAGATAAAAGTATGTTACCGAAAGATGAGCATAATACATGTATAATTTTAAGCACATACAAACTGTGTGTAAAAAAATGTGTGACATTTCCATGTTAGTGTTTTTGTCGACTATACAAATGTACTGTATTTATTTTCTGCTGAAATTTTATTTTAATCTTAATGAATTCATACCAAATTTAATTTTTGTATTTCACTCACGAAAGAAAAAACGTTACTGTACAAACAACGATTACTTTTCTGATTAATAGACAGAATGAGAAAATAATTTTATATATAGCAATCTATACATGTATAATGGTTTTGAAATACAAGAAATATAACAGTACAAAGCTCGCAGTGTAGCACCTTTTAACTATATCAAATTAAAAGAGGATGCTGGTGTAACGAATTTTCAATACCATAATTTTTCAAAATTGTATTAGAATGAGGCGTACCTGGTGAGTCACAAAAAATGGAGACATTGTAATATTGGCAACAAATTCACCATCCGACTTTCTCATTACTAATAATCTAGTAAACCCGTTGGGCTCGTAATGAAAACCTTGCTTAAAGAATGGTACATACTTATCGTAGCGCCCTGAAAAAAGAATTGTGAGTAAGATTATAAATTTGACGATAGCAACTAGTATTATATTCTGAACTGTTATGCGGTGATAAACTAGGTAAGTGTATAAATAAGACAATGGTAATATTAACTTTGAACAACATTTTTAATTTTTTATAGACCTAAATTATAACGCGGCAACGATTTTACTCACAATAATACACATTTACTCTTTCAGTTTTGATATAATCAATTAATTTTGTATTTGATATACTAAATTGCAAAGTGACAGAAAACATATTACTGTAGACGCATGGATCGTGTAAATACCCAGTCTCAGGTAGGATTATATAGTTTTTGGTTATACAGAATGAGTGCATGTATCCAAATCTAGAACTGAAATCCGGATAGGGTTCATTCCCCTTGCATTTACTAAGATCAGCATCTTGGTGATGGTAAGCTCCGACGACGTGTCGAACTAAATCCGAACCCACTTTATACACGATTCGCCTGAAATGGGAAAAAGGCGCAAGTACATTTGTATTAAAATACTGAACAAAGAAGCTAAACCGTTTGTGTTTGCTCAATTGTTACCAGGTATATTATACATCGTAGTCCTCAAATGGCAAATACGTCAAGAATAAAACTGTAAATGAAACTCTTGCTTCGAGATTTTAAATTCCCTTATCGACACCAAACCATATAACGCGGAGGCAAAATCTAAATCAGATGTGCTTACCGGGCATGTTTGCGATTTGTGCAACAAAGAAACATTTAAGCTCGATGTGTCAGGCGTTACTAGTATATGAGAAACATATTTATTCTTAACTGTAACAAATGATTAACTAACAAAATATTTTTTTTGCAAAACAATGAATAGCAGATTAATATTCATGAGAAAAAATGACTACAAGTATGTATAATTCATCTGATGAAAGTAACAACAAGCTAAAAGTTGAAGTACTAAAATTTAGAGAATATATGTGGGTTTTCTTAGATCTTAATGTGGCATCTTCTACATAAAACAGTGAAAATTTTCACTTTAAACAAAGATTATGTGGTTTCTATTCTTTTAAACCAAGATTATGGACGTAATGGAAATCATAAACCATTTGACGTTGACCTGGACTGACTTTGTGTCCGGAATACTTGAAATAATGTACAGAAAAATCATACTTTATTTTTAGGTGGGTTTGCGAAACAAAGTGAGTCACAACTAATGTACTCCATAAAGTTCCGTCCTGTTCCGTCTGCTCGTGAGCCGGATTATTGGTAAACCCGTACTCCGGTGTATCCGGTATTCCAAGGTGATCATCATTGTACTTGATCCAGCCTTTTTGAGAAACATCCCCATTGTCGATAATAACACCTACAATACACGAAATTCCCAAAATGTAACTAAATATACAGGTAAAAAAACGAGACAAAATCATATTGAATTGAAAAGCATGCTTTAGTATATTAAATGATTTTTTAGTATTGTATGCTTTGCATCAAGAATACATGTTTGTTTTCTTTTACATTTATTTAATTTTCATAGTTAACTAAAATACTAGTACAGATCCACACGATAGAGAACGAGGAATGAATGAAAAAAAAACTCGTATCATGTTAATTAATAGCACTTTCATGCATGGATTGTCAATCTGTATAATATTTTGTTTAAAAAAACGGTTTTATCAACTAATTAAAACGATGTAATTTATTTGGATTTAACTCAATATAGTGTCGGAGCAGTACCTCTAGACGCTTGCAGAAATCAAGATCACAAAAAGACAAATTATCGTTGGCCGATTTTTACATTTTTGATTCATTATCGTATATAAATCGGTGTGAAGAGATAAATTAAGCGTTTTAAGTTCATTCCGTTGGGTAAAATAGCGAAATTTTAGCATTTAATCATTCAAGAGCATTGTCCGGTAATCACCGGAATACGGTATTTAGTGTTTTAGTCTCACACATTTATTTTTACTGAGAGAAAGACTAAACAATGATAAAAACGTAAACTAACCGATAGGTATTTCTGTCATAGCAACAGCCTGGTTACCAATCTGCCACCAGCTAACATCAGGAACGCTTGACACTCTCGATTTATTAGACATTTCAGCTTCCCATTTGTCTACCATTTCTTTGTTCTGTGGATTAAATATTTCTGTATGTATATGTTTTTACAGAAATTTTCGAAACCTATAATGACTTTAGATATAATTTTAAAATTAAAAAGATTGGGTGTTTATAATGAATTTATACTGAACAATAACAGGTTTTCAGTTTGGCGTGGCAGATGTAAAAAGCTGCAAATGGTTCCTATTATTCGCAGTATATGTGTCTGGTTTGAATCGTTGATTCTAAGACTTAGTATTTCGGATTGGACGCCGAATAATCCGTGTCTCACGAAAATGCTCAATGAAACCGACTTTTTCATTTTCAAATATTTCTCCTTTTTTCTCTTCAAGCTCCACCCTTAGCAGAATGTTTCTTTTTCGGGGGTTGGGACTGCTCTCCTACACATCAGGCAAGTGTTGACAAAAATCAACAGTCGGATAAGGCTGTCCGGTGTTAGCAATGAGTCAGCTAACATTATTGAATTTTTTCAGTAAAGGAACTTCTAAGACTAATTCTAAAACAGGTGAAGCTGTTAACAGTTTTTCATTTATTCAGTTTTTGAAATTTGGAAGCTAGTCAACCAGATCAATGAAGAGCAGGCACAAGTTGCAAACAATTACGTCACGGGGCTATTTAAAACTATACAAACTATACAAAAGCATTTTCTAATTTCTGTGTATTTTAGAGCCAAACTATTCCTGGTATTACAGAGACGTTATTCTTAAAGCAAACATAGATGACTAGAACTGTTAGGCTTTTGAAAAAAATCGGAACACATCGACTTGATTCATTATAATCTCGGGTTGAAAGTAGTTCTACCATGTAGTTTAAGTTGTTTTGTCTGGTTTAGATATATATTTATCTAAACTTGATTGTGAAACAAGTTCTTTCAACTTATATAAATCACTTTCGAGTCCGCTTCAAATAAAGTATACTTTGGTAAAATTATGATTGAAAATTATTTATCATTATTTATTAAAACGACCACTTATTTTCAATAGTAAGCACATACGAATTACACATGTTATGTCAACATGTATACATTTTCGTACTTCCGATTTCAACAACCATAATTATAAGTATATAGATAAGGTACTGTTAACTTTTATATCTATAAGTTTATTTAATAAAGTTTAAAGAATAAAATTACTATTTTCATATTTAGTTTCTTAGCGTAGGTTAGACCGAAATACTGTATCAGTATTCGAGTTCTTTATCCGAAGCCTGACGGAACGGGCCGAGTAGATGCGAATATTACAAAACATCAGGCGAAGTAAAATGTTTTAATTCAGGTAAATTATAGTCGGTCACGAAAGTCTTAGCAAAATTATTTCATCATATAAGCGAAACATTTCCATATATGAACAAAACATGTCCACATATCAGCAAAACATGCCCATGTATCACCAAAACATGTCCACATATCAACAAAACATGTCAAAATATCAGCAAAATATTTCCACATATCAGCAAAACATGTCAGCATATCACAAAAACATCTCAAAACTTCAGCAAAATATGTCCAAATATCAACAAAACATGTCCACATATCCAACAAATCATTTCCACATATCAGCAAAAGATGTCCACATATCAGCAAAAGATGTCCACATATCAACAAAACATATCCACATATCGACAAAACATGTCCACATATCAACAAAACATGTCAAAATATCAGCAAAACATGTCCACATATCAACAAAACATGTCAAAATATCAGCAAAATATTTCCAAATATCAACAAAACATGTCCACATATCCAACAAATCATTTCCACATATCAGCAAAAGATGTCCACATATCAGCAAAAGATGTCCACATATCAACAAAACATGTCCACATATCAACAAAAGATGTCCACATATCAACAAAACATGTCCACATATCAACAAAACATGTCCACATATCAACAAAACATGTCCACATATCAACAAAAGATGTCCACATATCAGCAAAACATGTCCACATATCAGCAAAATATGTCCACATATCGACAAAACATGTCCACATATCAACAAAACATATCCACATATCCACAAAACATATCCACATATCAACAAAACATATCCACATATCAACAAAACATGTCCACATATCAACAAAAGATGTCCACATATCAACAAAACATATCCACATATCAACAAAACATATCCACATATCAACAAAACATGTCCACATATCAGCAAAACATATCCACATATCAACAAAATATGTCCACATATCAGCAAAATATGTCCACATATCAACAAAACATGTCCACATATCAACAAAACATGTCCACATATCAACAAAACATGTCCACATATCAACAAAAGATGTCCACATATCAGCAAAAGATGTCCACATATCAACAAAACATGTCCACATATCAACAAAACATATCCACATATCCAACAAATCATTTCCACATATCAGCAAAAGATGTCCACATATCAACAAAAAATGTCCACATATCAACAAATCATTTCCACATATCCAACAAATCATTTCCACATATCAGCAAAAGATGTCCACATATCAACAAAAAATGTCCACATATCGACAACACATGTCAGTGTATTAACAACACATGTCTGGTAGGCGGCTACAGAACTCATGGCTTTAGGAACTTTCCAAGGAATAACTTAAAGTTAAATTTACATAGCTCTATATAATAGTTATTCATGTGTAAGATTATACAACATATGGGCGATACATATAAATGTATATACATGTATTATCACTTCGGTTTAAGCGTAAAAATCGTAATATGAATTCCATCTATATCATAAAACAAAATACGCAATTTCTAGTTACATACCACTTTTGAAAATGCAGTTTCCATAAAGACACTTGATTGATTCATTTGTCTGCCGTATGTATTGTATATTTCATTAACGGTAGTTTCATACCATCTGAAATATTTAAAATATTTAATAGTATACATTAAATTGTCTTTCAGTACTTAAATTTTAAGAGAACTGAATTGTGTATTTAACTACAAATGAGCCGCGTCATGACAAAACCAACATAATGGGTTTGCGACCAGCATGGATCCAGACCAGCCTGCGCATCCGCGCAGTCTGATCAGGATCCATGCTGTTCGCTATCAGTTTCTTTACATGTAATAGAGTTGCTAAGCGAACAGCATGGGTCCTGATCAGACTGCGCGGATAGAGTCATATAATTTAATTCTCAAAATTAAAAATTACACCAAAATCACACATGTGTAATTTTCTTTTTGAAAAGTTAACCGCGCTAAACTGTAAATCCGTCGTCTATTTTATATCAAAACAAGATCAACAAGGAAGAGTGGCATTCAATGAAAGTATCCCCCTACATGACCCAGCAACACAGCCCCCTACATGACCCAGCAACACATCACCCTACATGACCCAGCAACACAGCCCCCTGCATGCCCCAGCAACACAGCCCCCTATATGACCAAGCAACACAGCCCCATACATGACCCAGCAACATAGCCCCCTACATGACCCAGCAACACAGCCCCCTACATGACCACGCAACACAGCCCCTACATGACCCAGCAACACATCCCCCTACATGACCCAGCAACACAGCCCCCTACATGACCCAGCAACACAGCCCTCTACATGATCCAGCAACACATCCCCCTTCATGACCCAGCAACACATCCCCCTACATGACCCAGCAACACATCCCCCTACATGACCCAGCAACACAGCCCCCTACATGACCACGCAACACATCCAGCTACATGACCCAGCAACACACCCCCTACATGACCCAGCAACACAGCCCCCTACATGACCCAGCAACACATCCCCCTACATGACCCACCAACACATCCCCTACATGACCACGCAACACATCCCCCTTCATGACCAGCAACAGACTCCCCTACATGACCCAGCAACACAGCCCCCTACATGACCCAGCAACACAGCCCCCTACATGACCAAGCAACACAGCCCCTACATGAACCAGCAACACAGCCCCCTTCATGACCCAGCAACACATCCCCCTTCATGACCCAGCAACACAGCCCCCTACATGACCCAGCAACACAGCTCCCTACATGACCCAGCAACACATCCCCCTACATGACCCAGCAACACATCCCCCTTCATGACCCAGCAACACATCCCCCTACATGACCCAGCAACACATCCCCCAACATGATCCAGCAACACAGCCCCCTACATGACCCAGCAACACAGCCCCCTACATGACCCAGCAACACATCCCCATACATGACCAGCAACACATCCCCCAACATGACCCAGCAACACATCCCCCTACATGACCCAGCAACACAGCCCCCTACATGACCCAGCAACACATCCCCCTTCATGACCCAGCAACACATCCCCCTATACATGACCCAGCAACACAGCCCCCTACATGACCCAGCAACACAGCCCTTACATGACCACGCAACACAGCCCCTTACATGACCACGCAACACAGCCCCCTACATGACCCAGCAACACAGCCCCCTACATAACCCAGCAACACATCCCCCTACATGACCCAGCAAACACAGCCTCCTACATGACCCAGCAACACATCCCCCTACATGACCCAGCAACACATCCCCCTTCATGACCCAGCAACAGACTCCCCTACATGACCCAGCAACACAGCCCCACTACATGACCCAGCAACACACAGCCCCCTACATGACCCAGCAAACACAGCCCCCTACATGACCCAGCAACACAGCCCCCGTACATGACCCAGCAACACATCCCCTTCATGACCAGCAACACAGCCCCCTACATGACCCAGCAACACAGCCCCCTACATGACCCAGCAACACATCCCCCTACATGACCCAGCAACACAGCCCCCTACATGACCCAGCAACACAGCCCCCTACATGACCCAGCAACACAGCCTCCTACATGACCCAGCAACACATCCCCCTACATGACCCAGCAACACATTCCCCCTTCATGACCGCAGCAACAGACTCCACTACATGACCAGCAACAGACTCCCCTACATGACCCAGCAACACATCCCCCTACATGACCGCAGCAACACAGCCCCCTACATGACCCAGCAACACATCCCCTACATGACCCAGCAACAATCCCCCTACATGACCCAGCAACACAGAACCACCGGCAATCGGCCCAAAACAAGTTGTACCAGTCTGTAGGTAATTGAGTAACCTAATAATTGTACCATACAACTAATAGTTTTAACAATGAGAATTAAAAGAATCCTCAATCCCGATGCACAGTTTCCTTTGCGTTTAAGTATAGAATAAAACCCTGAATAATCCATTTCATTTACAGGTTTATAGATATATTTTTCAGGAGTTAAACCAGAAATAAATAGTTCACATTCTTCTAGCATTAGTCTACTGCAGCTTTCTCTGTGTTATTCTAAAATTTAAAAGTAAATTTGAGCCGCGTCATGACAAAACCAACATTATTGGTTTGCGACCAGCATGGATTCAGACCAGCCTGCGCATCCGCGCAGTCTGATCAGGATCCATGCTGTTCGCTATCAGTTTCTCTACTTGTTATAGGGTTTGTAAGCGAATAGCATGGATCCTGATCAGACTGCGCGGATGCGCAGGCTGGTCTGGATCCATGCTGGTCGCAAACCCATTATGTTGGTTTTGTCGTGACGCGGCTCATTTACCTCTGAGTAAAGGATATGTCTCCATTTTCGACGTGATATTTGCTGCCTATTTGTAGACAATCAAACAGATGTTCAATGTAGTTTGGTAATGAATCATTCATGTTGTTGGTTTCTCCAAATGCTCCACATGCATGTCGCATAAAATTACCTGCATGCATTTATAAACATCATTTACTTCAAAGTTTTAAACGGTACCAATATCATACCTATGTAAACAACAACAACAACAATACCAATGTATTCTATACATTTCTTCAAAACGTCTCTTTACAAGAAACAAGAAGAGAGAAATTAAACTTTCATATTCATCAACTCAAATTATCACTTAACCAATAAAATTTTACATCAAATAGAATACCGGTAATATTCTTCACACGTGTCTATTTAAACGTGTTTCAATTACATTATTAATGATTTTAGAATCAGTAAGTTCAAAAGTAAATACATTTGTAGTTATTTACTTATTTAGAATGACTAAAAATTTTAAAAAATATATATTGAAAAAAAAGTACAGTTGAATATTCATTAGAAGAGTATGTGGTTCAGTTGGGGCGTCCGTGGCCGAGTGGTTGATGCCGTTGACTTCAAACCACTTGCCCCTCACCGCTCTGGGTTCAAATCCCGACAGGGACTTTGGATTCTTTCATGTGAGGAAGCTATCCAGCTAGCTTACGGAACATCGGTGGTTCTACTCAGGTGCCCGTTCGTGCCTGAAATAATGCACGGAATGGCACCTGAGGTCTTCCACCAGTAAAGCTAGAACGTCGACATATGATCTATAATGTGTCGGTGTGACGTAAACCTCAATCAAACAAACAAACTGTGGTTCAGTTTATATTTACCTGCCAGCCATGTTGGTACACTTCCGTAGTCTACAGTCACCTCTCCATTTATTGTCTCCTTTTCTATATTACCAAAAGTTTCTTTAAACATATCTTTTAGTTCCTTGTCGGTGTATGCCAGTACAGCTTGCACAAGAGTGAGACAACATCCTAGTTGTAAAACGTTCAGTTGCATTGTGCTTCCCTGAAAATAATCAAGATTTAACAAATAGTATACCAGAAATAAATCGGTATACCGGAAATGAAACTGTATAACAGACATTAAACGATATACCTGAAATGAAACTGTATAACAGACATTAAACGATATACCTGAAATGAAACTGTATAACAGACATTAAACGATATACCTGAAATGAAACTGTATTCCAGAAATGTATATGTATAACACAAATGAAACGGTATAACGGAAATGAAACTGTATAACAGACATTAAACGATATACCTGAAATGAAACTGTATTCCAGAAATGTATATGTATAACACAAATGAAACGGTATAACGGAAATGAAACTGTATAACAGACATTAAACGATATACCTGAAATAAAACTGTATTCCAGAAATGTATATGTATAACACAAATGAAACGGTATAACGGAAATGAAACTGTATAACAGACATTAAACGATATACCTGAAATGAAACTGTATTCCAGAAATGTAATGTATAACACAAATGAAACGGTATAACGGAAATGAAACTTATAACAGACATTATAACAAATGAAACATTAAAATACATGTATACCTGAAACGGTAAAACGAATGAAACTGTATAAATGAACTGTATTCAGAAATACATATGTATAACACAAATGAAACGGTATAACGGAAATGAAACTGTATAACAGACATTAAACGATATACCTGAAATGAAACTGTATTCCAGAAATGTATATGTATAACACAAATGAAACGGTAAAACGGAAATGAAACTGTATAACAGACATTAAACGATATACCAGAAATAAAACTATATACCAGAAATGTATATGTATAACACAAATGAAACGGTGTACCAGAAATTAACGGTTTACCAGAAGTTAAACGGTATATCAGAAATGGAAACTGTACACCATAAAATAAACTGTATACCACAAAGTAAACTGTGTACCAGAAATAAAAATGTACACCAATAATTAAACGGTAAATCGAAAATGAATCTGTATACCAGAAACTAAATGCTGGCAATAATCAAATGAATGATTAAGTAATATCAAAATATCATTGTTATCTGTACCAATAAATGAATGAACTTGTATATACCAAAAGCACGTGCAATTTCAAATGAAAGTATAATGTACCCTATCATCTATTTTTATTACTAAATATTAAATCATATAAAAAATAATAAATTGTGCCAAAGGTGTTTAAAAAGTTTTTTATTTAATGATTTTGAGTGACGTTTTGTTTATTAAAAAGGCGGCGTGTAATAAGGACCACTGATTAATTATCAATTAGAATTCACTTTTTAATAAAACTTAACCGACAAAAAAAAAAATGAAATAATAAATAATCATGTTCTGAAATCCGTTCTATACCAATTATCATTTACAGTCATTATATTGGTGTATTCGTAGTATATAAAGTCTGTATATTAAAATAGATATGAAATAAGAGTGTATATCAGGTGATGGGAAAATAATAAATATTCATATGAGTTAGAAGGTAAGTATCATTTACAGAGAAAACCCTTATAATAATGTAAAGAGTTCCACTTGTGATCAAATGTGAAAACTGAATATTAGATAATTAATGGACGAAACAGATGCGGTGCTTTATACTGTGTATAAATTATTAGTTATTTCCAGATGTGCTTTAAAATATGTAAAATATACAACATTCTTTAAAGCAAGAAAGATCATATTTATGTTATTCAATGAAGGATTTTTTTCTAAACGTCAAATTTTAATAAAAAAATGAAAAACGTATTTCTTTGCAAGCATATAAAACCAGATTCCCTCCTGTAAAAAAGACAGAGGTAAGGAGATAAAATAGTCATAAATTCATCACTTGTATAATTAAACCATCTATACAGAAATGTCAGCCAGCACATAAAGAAGGTAAAAAAAGTCGAATCTGATAAAAATTGGTATTTTAGCACAAACAAAGTAAAGGAACTATTTCTGAAAGATCTTTGACAAAACAAACATTGGTTGTTCTAATTTATTACAACACAAAAAGCTGTTTGTTTATACATTGGATAAAACTGAAAACGTAGATAAAGGCATCACGTGATTTTGTTCATACTGTTTCTCTAAAATCTGTTTACTATTCCTATTCTAAACAATTCAAGTAACTGCTAAATTTATATTGATTAAACAGGCAATAATTTCTCCTGTAGTCACAAGAACTGAGACAGAGGAATGCAAAAACAAACTAACTACTTACGTGTTTATTGCGTCTGGTATAAGCCCTGTATCGTTCTATCTTAATCAGTGACCAGCGGGGGATCTTAATCAGTGACCAGCGGGGAGGGGGGTGGGGGTAAAGAAAGGAGAATATACGTAGTGTTTATTATTAAATATTTTCTTAAACAGGAATTAACATATGTACGAACTTGCTGGATGAACACAGTTTGAAATAACTTATACTTTTGTTCTGCGCATATAAAATTGAAAGTAAATTGGGTTTTACAGTTGCGAATTGTATATAAGGCAAATACATTTCTGTTCAACATATATTTAACAAATATCAATTATATCGCGTACCTAAGGAATATTTTTTAATAATATTCCAATGGTTAAATGATATAAGTGCCAGTTTAAAGTCTATACACTTTTGAAAGTACTTTTATTTGACAAGTATGCCATATTGTTATATAAATATGGAATAACCTTCTTAGAATAACAATTATCTCTACTTTAAAACGTTTACAATAAAATGTTTACCGTTTTAGCTTCTTTTATTCTCCGGTGAATATTGTGTTGTCAAACATTTTATCCGCTTTAACTTTTTTTAATGTTTCGACTTTTAACCGAAACTTTTTCAACAATAATAATTCGAAAATATGACCCAAAATTTTTAAAAATACAGATAAAGCATTGCAGCTTACCTTAGAAAATCCAGCTTTACAACATAATCAGCATTGTAGAAATAAATACCCAGCATGTGGTCGCTCCGGAAATATTTGGAACATTACTATGAGTGTTGCTAAAAATAGATTTCAGATTCTTCACCTGTAAACGATCATTCACGTAGTAACTAATCTAGCAGAAAAGATTATTGTTTTAATGTTTTATTATATAACAAGGAAGAATGAATGGGTAAATTACTGTACAGTCTTTATAATTTAATATTTCTGTTTTGTTTTAGTTTTTTAATTAATACCTTATCGTAACATATAACTACACATCGCGTTCAAACATCTACAATTATCATTGGAATAACTAATTTTATTTTCAATGTTTTTATTTATTTTATCCATTTATCCATCTAACAATTTTGCATGACTAGAGTTGCATCAAAAATCATTTATAGTCATTTTTTATGACATCCACACTCTATCCTTGCAAATCGTGGCTACTTCCTTAAAAAGACACTTAAAAAAAAATAAAAAAAATAGTTGCCTCGACTTAGATTTGAACCCCAAACCTCTCACACCCTAAACGAGCGCGTGACCCCTGCACAACGGGGAAGTTATACGAAGAAACCCTGAATAAAATCAAATAATTCTAAATTTGGAATTTCCATTTCGGGTTTGTAATCCTTATTAATTTCGAGTTTAACACTGATGTAAATAATTTAGCGAGATGAGTTAGCGCATACTGTCGCTGAGACACTATACTTTCAACCTCATCCATGATAACGTTTAATTTTCAAGATCATTCGTGAAAATGAAGACCTGACTAGCGTATTGATGGCGATTTTTAGTTTCGTTGATATCCTTAAATACAATAACGGACATATAACTTTATGATCTTTTATATTCGGTGTACCATCTACGCGTTTCATATTACATTAAAGTTAGCAGATAAAACGTAATTGAGAGCACTTTTTCGAGGTAACGCCGAATTCGTGAATAAAGCACTGAAACAACGGCGGTTATCTCTCATTAAAAGTAGCTAAATCCTATTTTACCAGCTTCCTTCTATTGTTATACGACAATAGTAGTTTGACAAATGTATTGCGTAAACAGAATATAAAAAAAAATAAAGTGTTAAATGTGCTAAATGTACATATTTAATTGACGAAACACAAAAGCCACCTTCAAAACGGTAATTAGATTGTCTTTCTCACGAATGATCTAAGAAAGTAAACAAATTCCCGAATGCTGGTTTAAGTATAATGTAGTAGCAGCCGTATGCGCTAATTCATTTCTTTAAAGTTGTTTAGAGTAAAATATTTTGGTTCGTTTACTTACTGTATTATGCGTTTTGGCAAAAGCGTTGCACAGATTCGGCGTTACTTTTACGATAATTGTACATTCCTGCATTACTGGATATGCACGGTGGAATAAGTGGGTGATAATTGACATCAAATATAAGCGGTAGAAGAAATTTCTATGTCTACACCATTTCGCTGATAGCTTACATGTATGTGAGTAGACATATTGTCCAATAAAACATACGTAAAATCACATTAGTTTATATTTTGCGGAATTGCATACATTAGAATTCTGCCACAGATATGGTATATACGAGTATACTACTGCATTTGAAATTCGGAATAGATTGAAATTATAACCAGTGTGATCGAGATAAAGATAAAAAGATCAAATTGTTTCAAGATTGAAACAGGATAATAATTCTTAATCTGCTATGAATCATATTAGGATGACAAAATGGCAAACTGTCGTTAATGGAGATACAAATCAAATGATATCATATATAAATTGACAATGTTGAATCACTTTCGTGCTAATGTGTCGAGATAACTAGCTATATAGAAAAGTGTGTTTTAAAGAAGAAAAAGAATATTCAAATTTATTAAACAGTCGAAAACTTAATAAAACATATACTTTTGTATTGCATAATATTAAAGCAAATTGACTTATATAAATAAGACAAAGCAGGGAATAAATGAAGCGCCCTCACTTACCATGGAATACAATTTATATAAGAGGTAAAACTAAAAACCATAGAAAATCATCTCTAATAATACTACGCACAGAATTCACATGACAGGAATAACAGTGTAAACTTATACAAACTCACACGAATATTGAGACCGTCATGCATTGGTAACCCGCAAAATTAAAACGATTTTTTATTAAAGAAAATAAATTCACTCAAGCCAAAAACATTATATTATACATGTATGTTCAATACTGAATAAACATTAAATCATGTTAAAAATGTTACGCTATTGAATAAATTTTTTTACCTGTGACTTCATGCAGAAGAGAAGATCGAGATTAGTTTTTTATATATATCACTCTTTTCACATCGTCGCATTGGAGATTTTAGTACGTGATCATTATACCCCGTATTAGTACATAGTGTATCAAATGTTGTACTAACATCACGAAAATGAATCGTTTAGTGGATGTATCGATACGAGTATTTGTGATTATTATAAACATTCTAAACAATGGTATGTTCAAATAAATATTACTTTAGAATTTATAGTTTTTTTCTGATTTTGATTATTTTAATTTACTATAAATATATAAGTTAAAATTTTTAGAAATTAATTCTTTTAGGATATATAAATAAAAACCAATACAATATATCAAACTATGTTTCGCTTAAGTTGATTAAGTCTCAGAATATATGTATCTCAAGTGACTATCTGTTTTTGTTGTTGTGTTTTGTTTTTAGTTTGTTTTTGCTGTAGTTTTTTTGTTATTGTTTTTTGTATTCTTTTCATCTGTACGCGGAATAAATCGCTCCCACAATGATTTCAAAATTTATATGTACAAACGAAAAAAATATTATCTATACAAAGCATCTTTACAATACTTTGGCACCAACAGTTTTAGTAAAAATATCAAATATTTATAAATTTGTATTTATATATAGCTTATATATATTACAACATATCATAATGATTCTTACGGGATATACGGAAGAATACAGTGGTGTGAATTAGAATGTACAGTGAGAGCGTTTTTAACGCAAAACGTTTAAGACACGTTTTTAACAGAAAGGAAACAAGTTTAGAAACTCAGAAAATCTTCACATGAATAATTCATCAAAACTGTCAGATAACATAACATTCCTCGCAAACAACGAATCTTCAATTTCATCAGGAAATAGTATTTCATTTATTCCCTGCGTGTACTGTCTTTCAGGATATAAGAATAAAATATCTAAAACCGTAATATCATTTAAAATGTTTTGAAATCCTAACGTCAGTTGCTTAAAAGAAAAATATATGCAACCTCGCTAGAAACATATATGTCACAAAATAAGAATGCAAACGATACATTTATCTTTTTTTTGTTATCTGATGGCATAGTTTCTTCCACTATAATCCACTCCACCCCACCTCACCCAGTTAAATTGGCCAGGTTCGATGTCAGCCGGAAAAATGGTTAACTCATAAATAGCCAAAGATACATTATGATGTCATCAGTTACCAATGATCAAAGCGAAATATAAACCACAACGTTTTAAGTAACGCAACTAGTAGAACCAAGAACCTTCTATTACATGTTAAGTATGTTTTAGTAAAACAAATACAATCACTACAATAATATCAAATAGAATTTAAAGCTAAAGTCATGCAGGTGAGAAAATCAACATTTGGAAAAATGTATTGAAATTTTGATTTGAATGTTATATGTAAAAATACTTTTGCATTATTTATAACGTGTGATAAAAACGCAGTAAGGGATATTTTTCATATTTTACCCCCATAACAAATAACGCAGGAATTGTGCAGAAGTAACGCAGAATTGTGCAATTTAGTGGCCAAAATAGAGAAAATGACGACCTGACTAGTGTATTGATTGTGATTTTTAGTTTCGTTGATATCTTAAAATACAATAACGGACATATAACTTTATGATTTTTCATATTCTGTGTATCTGAGACATTTTCCAATCCACGCGTGTCATATTACATTCAAGTTAGCAGATAAAACGTAATTGAGAGCACTTTTACGAGGTAACGTCTAATTCGTGAATGAAGCACTGAAACAACGGCGGTTGTCTCTCATCAAAAGTAGCTAAATCATATTTTACCAGCTTCCTTCTATTGTTATACGACACTTGTAAATTGACAAATGTTTTTAGCATACAGAATATAAAAAAATAAAGTGTTAAATGTGCTGAATGTACATACATGTATTTAATTGACGAAACACATTTATAAGCCACCTTCAAAACGGTAATAAGATTGTCTTTCTCACGAATGATCTACACCCCTAATGTACTATCTCCACTTTGAAAGGTATTCAAATAGGCTAGAATCACTTTAAAGTGTATTGAAACTGAGGGGCGTGGGTTCAAACCACAGAAGGCGCAACTTTTTTTTTCTTTCTTTTTTTGTCTTTTTAACATTTTTATTAATCTCTCAGATCCCTAATGGAAGAAAAAAGTGTTTTATTTTAATTATATAATATTTTAGGTATTTATTTACTAAATAATGCCAAATTTAATAGCAAATATACCAGATATTTTCAAAGTTTAATAAAATAAAAACTGCATGATAAAAGTAATTTATATTTTGCGAGACCAACCAATATACATTTTAGAAAATTTAGGCAACTTTTGAAAACAGCCCCTCATTGTGGAAAATTTTAGGGATATTTTAAATAAGGCTTTTTACACAGGGAAATGGTCAAATAAGTGTTAAAAGTGGGTGGAGTAGGGTTACATTTTTATACATATTAAAAACCTTTCGTTTAAAAACAATCATTTTGCTTCTTTAATTTGTTATCTTAATGTCATTATATGTTTTTTAACAATGAGCAATAGAAAATCATTTTTTCATAATGATGATATTATAGATTATTAAGAGTTTCCTCATTTCTGAAAAAAGCCCTTTTAATAGCAAAGTTTTAGGATAGCTCATAAACCACAAGGTAAATTTTGTTTCAATTTTGCATACACGTGACATTTAAGGCATATAACTGTCCTATGTTGTCAATTTTACAGTTCCTTATAGTGCCCATTAGGGGTGTTCTACCTTTAGTATAATGTTGTAGCGGCCGTATGCGCTAATTCATTTGTTTAAAGTCTATTTAAAGTAAAAATGTTGAAATTCGGAATATACTGAAATTATAACCAGTATGTTCAAGATAAAGATAAAAAAT